TGAACGATGGGCGCTATGTTTTGGGAAGGGAGGATCTTAAGCAGTCCCCATGCTAAACTCTGCGTATCAGCCAGAGAGTTGTGAGCCAAGACACTGAGAGGGGAACCAGGACAAACCCCACCCCAGCTCCTCAGTGCTCCAGGCTGGAAGTCTGTGTCACCTCCTATTTAGGTCTTTGCTAGAACAAATCCCCCGGCAGAAAATTGACTACATTTTCTGTGCTAGGGGCTTGCTGAGGAGGGAGCTCCTGCTCTACTGGAGTCCAGGCATAGAGAGGGCCTCCTGGCTTCAGCAAAGAACCTGCCCACTCTCTCATTGTGACTCCCCTTGTCACTGAGGAAGAGCTGGCAAAGGGCTTGAGCCAACTGGAGCAATCTGAAATGAAGCTGAAAAAGTGACAAGAACAAAATCTTGCAAAACAAAACCCACAAACGTGGGTGGAGGCGAGCTAAATTGGAAAACAGTCTGTCCTGTCATTACCCAGGCCCCTCTTAAGCTGTGAGATTTGGAACTATGCTTTCAAGTTTCCCGGCCAGTAATCTGAACAGCACTGTACGAGAGCAGAAAATGCCTTGCCCTAAAATGTCTCACGCTTCACCATGCAACTGGGAGCCCTGAAACATGGAGAATAAACAGGTCCAGGCAAGACACTCACACACACACATACCACACACACACACATACCACACACACACCACACATACCACACTCACACACATTCACATACACTCACACACACACATACCACACACACACATAACACATACCACACACACTCACACACACACATACCACACATACCACACACACACACACATACACACACATACCACATTCACACACACTCACATACACTCACACACACATACCACACTCACTCACATACACATACCACACACACAACACATACCACACACTCACACACACACATACCACACACACACATAACACATACCACACACACTCACACACACATACACACACATACCACACACACACACACATACACACACATACCACACACACACACACATACACACACATACCACACACACTCACACAATGCACACACACAGACACACACACACAAACACACTCACAAACACACATACCACACACACACACCACATACACTCACTCACACACACAGATACACACACACAGATGGGACACACACACACAGATACACACAAATGGGATACACACACACACTCACAAACACACATACCACACACACACACCACACACATTCACTCACACACACAGACACACACACACACACCACACACACACCACACACATTCACTCACACACACACAGGCACGACACACACACACAGACACACACTCACTCTCACATGCACCACATACACACTCCCTCACACACACACATGCACACACACAGACACACACTTACTCACATACACAGACACACACATACACAGTCACACACACACCACACTCACACACACAGGCACACATACACACACCACACTCACACACACACCACACTCACACACACAGACACACACACACTCACACACACAGACACACACATACACAGTCACACACACACCACTCACACACACAGGCACACATACACACTCACACACACACCACACTCACACACCACACTCACACACACACACACACACACATGCATGCACACACACACACATACAACATGCACACAGACTTTTTTCAATTTTAAAGTAAATTGTACTGTGCGTCATTCTGACTGTGAAGACCCTTGTAGAAATTTCTATCTGTTAAGGTGGAAGCTTCACCCCATCCCCTGGCATCCATATACCCAAAGAGACTGGAATGTTATGGTAGAAGTTCCACCCAATCCCCCCATCTCCTCCAAACCCTGTTGTGTCTCAGAAAGCCTGCCCAGAGATGCTCAAGACCACTCCTACAGGGTATTTAAATTGCTTCCTGGCCTCCCTTTCCTGCCTCCTCTCTGGGGGACTGGAAGGCCACCCGGGGAGGGCTGTATCCATTAAACATGGGCTTTTTCTAATTCGATTTGATTTGGTCTGATTTGGATTGCTGTATCATCAGACAGGCTTATCGGGGTGTAGAAACTTTTCACTATGAAAGAAACTTGGAATATAAAATGAAGATTGAGAAAGTGTTGATCTAAAATTCAATGGATCTGGGACAATCATAAATGTGTGGTAGTCTGAATGTGATTGGCCCCCATAATCTCATAGGGAGTGGCACTATTAGGAGGTGTGGCTTTGTTGGAGTGGGTGTGGCTTTGTTGGAGGAAGTGTGTCACTGTGGGGTAGACTTTGAGGTTTCCTATGCTCAGGACACTGCCCAGTGTCTCAGTTGACTTCCTTTTGTCTGCAAGAAGTAACATTCTCTGTTACTCCAGCACCACGCCTCCTGAATGCCGCCATGCTCCCCGCCGTGATAATGGAGTGAACCTCTGAAATTGTAAACCACCCCAATTAAATGTTTCCCTTATAAGAGTTGCTGTGGTCATTTCACTATGAAATCCCACATCAGTGGGTCAGGTGGTTTCTCCCAATTCCTATGAGCCCAGGGGAGGAACAACATTTAGCTTTACAAGTGTGTTTTTAGACTTCTTGCTAAAGGCTAAACCAGATTCATTAGAAGAACCTGATGTTCACCCAACAGCCAACACCAACCTTTCCCAGCAGTCTTCCTACTTAGACAAGTTGTTTTAGACTTATTTGTATTATATTTTGTATGTGTGAATGTTTTGCCTGCATTATTATGTGTATCATGTGTAAGTGTGGTGCCTGTAGAAGTCAGAAGAGGGATCTTAAGTATTGATGGTTGTGAGCCACCATGTAGTGTGACCCAGCTCCTCTGTACCAATTGTCCAACATTTTAAATTTTCAGTTTCATGGTGGGTTTTCAAAAGAGATAACAGGCTTTTCTGATGCTAGCTGGGCATAGAGGTTGAGCTGGGTAATCGCTTGTACCTAGGAGCTAAGACTAATCTGACCAAGATAGCAACTCAGTCTCAAGGAAGGAAACAAACAGAAAAGTCAGGACTAGCAGTTATGCCTGTAATCTCAGTACTCAGAGAGGCAGAGGCAGGAAGGCTGGCTTGAGGCCAGCCTAGCCTATGGAGTGAGTTCCTGGTTTTTCAAAGAGGGTTGAATGCCTTTAATACCGATATTTATGAGGGATAGGCAGGCAGGCAAGCCTGGTCTACACAGAGAATCCCAGGTTAGCCAGGTGTGGATTGAATGAGAATGGCTATCATAGGCTCATAAACTTGAATGCTCCATCACCAGAAGTAGAACTGTTTGGGAGGGGTTAGGAGGTGTGGCTTTGTTGGAGTAGGTATGTATGGCCTTGTTAGAGGAGATGTGTCCTTGGAGGTGGGCTTTGAGGTTTCGAAAGCCCATGCCAGTCTCAATCAATCAGCCTGTCTGTCTGTCTGTGTCTGTCTGTCTCTGCCTGTGAATTAGGATGTAAAGGTCTTAGCTACCACTCCAGCGCCACACCTGTCTGCTTCCCACCATGATGATCATAAACTAAACCTCCTTAGCTGTATGCAAGCCCCCAATTACATACTTCCTTTTATAAGCTGCCTTGATCATGGTGTCTCTTCACAGCAATAAAAAAGCAACTAACATAGCAGGGCTACATAGTGAAACCCTGTCTTGAAACAAAGAAAACAAGCAAACTAAAACCTCAAAATCTTACACTACAAATATTTTATTCTATCCTTTTGCTTGTTTTGTTTTTTGTTTTTGAGACAGAATTTCTCTGTGTAGCCCTGACTGTCTTGAAGCGTAGTCTGTAGACCAGGCTGGCCTTGAACTCACAGAGATCCGCTTGTCTCTGCCTCCTGAGTGCTGGGATGAAAGGTGTCTGCAAGCAGTATCCTGCTCTTTTGTTTGTATATAATGCTTATGGTCAGAAGAACAATGAAGCCCACCTAGAGTGAGTGAGTGAGTTGATTTACCTGTTTAGTATTTACTTAGGTGCTGAGACTTGCACCCAGTGTGTCTCACATATTGCTTACAAGCTGGCATCGCCAGTGTTTTGTCCTGTTTTTACTGTCCGTAATAACTGGTACTACCCCTCTTACACCTTCAACAGCATGTTCAGATGACCCAAGCTGGGTTTATTCTCAGACAAGGATACCCAACACGTTCAGCCAATGTATTCCTTGAAAAGGCATGAAGGGGGCCAGGAAGAGATGGGTCAGAGGTTAGGAGCTCTGGATGCTTGTTTACAGGGACCAGACTTCAGTTCCCACCACCAGGGTCAAATAGTTCAATGCGCCAGGTGATACAGTGTCTTCTGGCCTCTAAGAGAACCTAAGCACTGGTGGTATACACTCACACAGACACAAACTCATGAACAAAAAATAAAATAACAAGAAAAAATGAAAAGACACGAAGAACACATCCAACCAAGAAGTCCTTCTTGCTTTGATGCATTTCTGGGAAACAGCCACTATGGGACAGCCCCTGCTCACACTGGAGAAGTGGTCAACCCCTGTTCACGCTGGAGAAGGCCTGAGCAAATCTGAAGAGTCATCACCCCGCTCTGTCCCAAGATTAAGGGCTTCAAAGAACACCATGACCCTGTAAGTCATCCTGTAAGGTGACCCCAAACTGTGGCTCAGCGTGACAGCCAGAGCCCCTTTACCCCTAGAATAGAGGCAGGTTTGCCTGCCACTCTGAGGATCCCTGTTCACACATAATCCACACCATGCTCTAAAGAGCAGCTCCATATCTAGCCAAGTCATGGCCGCTGCAGGGCCTGCCAGGGCTGAAGCTTGCCTGGTGGGCAGTGGGATCAGGGAATGGGGGCTATTTTTCATGAGGAATAAGGCCACCTTGTCATCTCAGTATTCTGCTGCTAATTAGTACCTGTAACCTTGACAGGCCCAGGCACTCCTGGAACTCTCCCTCTTGGGGTATAAAAGGCAGAGACCCTGAGGGTTCAGAACCAGGCGGTGGCCGCTGTGAGCTGAACAGGGCTGTGGCACTTGCTGGCTCTACACCATTTCAGACAGCAGCAGACCCATCTCAAAGGTAAAAGATGCTGAACATGAGAGGGCCTAGGATGGAGGTTAGTCTGACGCCTCAAGGAAGAAGGGGAGTAGGCACTCCACCTCGTAAGCTGCTTGTTCTCAGTGCCCAGTAAAAAATAGAGGTCTTCATAGCCAGTAAGCTCACAGCTTCAGATCAGTGATGCCCTATGGATTTGGTAGATAACACCAAAACTTCCTTCTTATATCTGCTCACCGGTGACCTAACTGTCTCTATTTTATTTATTTATTGGTGTATTTATTTACTTTTTATTTAAGCCAGGCAGGGTGGCTATTTCAGCACCAGAGAGGCAGAGGGAGGCCGATCTCTAAGAATTTGAGACCAGCCTGGTCTACATAGTGAATCTCAGTCCGGTCATGGCAGCATGGTAAGACTGGTTACATACGGACTAAGAGACACCAAAGCTCCAGACAACAAACGCCCTTTCCGCACTCACTGAGAGATGGTCTCTGTGTCTTCTCAGAAGACTGAAGTGGAGGCACTGGCCCTCGTGTGGTCATAGTTCTGAAGTGAACTTCTCAGACTGCAAAATGTACACAAACCATCCGGGATCAGGTTAAAATGCAGAATTGGATTCAGATTTCAGTCTTGACCCATTGATGTGTTTGCACTAGGCCCTGAGCGACAAGTGTGCTGCTGGCCCAAAAGGTAGCAGTGCTCGGAGGTGTTTCCATAGTAGTGCATTGCCTTTGAGACTTCAACGAGTGAGTCTGATCCAATGAGCAAAAATGAAAATTTTATTTGAAATATTTTCTGTTGTTTATTCTATTTCACTTCATTTCATTTCCTTTGTTACTTTATTTTGTTTCAGAGAGTCAAGGTCTCTCTGGGTAGCCCTGGCTGGCCGGGAACTTCTGCCTCTCTAGTGCTGGGATTGCCCTAATTTTGTGTTTTTATATTAACACACAGTAAAACACTTGGTTGTATGTATTCAATTCTAATGAATTTTACTCTACATAGATGTATCTCGACTCTTCTGCTCCCAATCAGAATACGAGATAACTCTGTCCTTCTGCATCTCTAACCCAGCACTTGGGAGACAGAGGCAGGCCGATCTCTGTGAGTTCAAGGTCATCCTGGTTCACCTAGAGAGACCTTGGCAGCTAAGACTACATAGACCCAATCTCAAAAGAAGAAGAAGAAGAAAAGAAAAAAAGAAAAGCTCTTTGTCATGTCCTTTCATTCTCTTAGTGTCTGCTCTATTTGATGAAGAACAGTTTGTTTCTCTGTTGTGGGTTGAGCTTTCAGAATTGTGTCTCAGATCCCTGTCAGACCCCAAACTGTGAGGGATAAAAAGAACCCTTCCTATATTTTGTCTTAACATTTTTATATTTAAATCTATACCCAGCTTTGAGTTAATTTTTGTGCAGGATGGGGTTAATATTGAGTCTGGTTTTCTTCTATTGGTGTCTGATTATTCTAATGCTATTTATTGAAACATTGTCCTTTTCCTATGGGTGACCTGATGTTTGGTTTGGTTTGGGGCCATGCCCTGCAATGTCAAATTGTCAGCCGCCTGTCTCCACTATGGAGTGCCACAGGGCAGGTGTTCCTCTGCCTTTACTCTTCACTTTCCAAGGTTGTTTGGTCACTCTGGATCCTTTCCTTTTACCAGCAAATTTCAGTATCAACTCATCCATATCTGTTTTCAAAACCCACCCTGGGATTTCATTCTCGCTATAAAAATTAGTAAGTTAGCGTGGGGAGACTGATGTCTTTGCTATATTGAATCATGAGCACTGCATATCTCTCCTTCAAAGAAGGTTTCCAGTATTTCACTCAGGAGCCTTTAGCAAACATGCACGTATCTATTGGGTTAATATTTAAGTGTTGTTCTATTGGGAATTATGCAAATGCTATTGAGATTTTAGTTTTAGTTTCTGATAGCTCATTGTTAATGTGGCTTGGTTTGGGGGCATTTATATGCCCCATATCCTTGCTAAATTCACTGAGTAGCCCTGGAGTTTATAATTTATATTTATTTATTGGGGGGGGTCATGTCATGGTGAACATGTACAAGTCAGAGGACGACTTCTGGAAGTCAGTTCTGTCCCTTCCACCATGTGAACCAGTGGACTCAAGCCATTCATTCCACTTGAAAGAGCCATCTGGAACCCAACCCCACCCTCTTTGTTAACCACTAAGTCTCTGGTAGCTCAGGTTAGCTTTGCGCTTATTACGCAGTTGAAGATGATCTTGAATTTCTGATCCTCCTGCCTCCATCGCCCAAGTGTTGGGATTACAGGCATGGACCAATGTGCCCAGCTTTATGCCTTGCTGAGGATTGAGCCTAGAGTTTCAAGAACACTAGGCAAGCGCTATATTGATGACGGTTACATCCTGGCTCCTCCAGGAAAATTCTGAGTAATTTATTCCGTGTGTACTTGGAAAGAGTGCCTGTTCAGCTGTCACGGTGTGGAATGTTCTGTAGACTGCACTCCATCTAATCGATTGATGTGTAGGGCCCCCCCCTCCCTATGGTATCTTCAGCAATGCTCCCTCTGCTGGTTCCTTTGATTATCCAGACAGGAAATGTCATCCAACCTTACCCAACTCTGCCAGGCTTTGTCCTTGTTCTGAAGACCCGGCTGCTTTCAACACCGTGGCCCTTCCCACTCCCAGCATGTTGATTACGGTGTCTGTGTTTGAGCTTCTTTAGATTCAAATGTTTGAGGCTAAGGACTGAGGATGTGTGGGGTTTTGTTTGTTTGTTTTTGTTTTTCTGAATTGGGGGAGTTTAGCCTTCGTTTGTTCAAATATATTTTCTTGCGCTTCTCTCTTTACCCCCTCTCATTAACTGCCTCTGACCTCTAAATTTCCCTTTTCCGGTCCCTTAGGCTAAAACTTACTAAGACTGCGGTTGCCTGAGTTTTGTTGGGGCCACCGAGAGAGAGAAGGTCCGAAGGGTCAGCTCCTCCCTGCTAGGCTGCAACGCCCTCTACTGGAGAGCGGGTGTTTAGTCCTTGCGCTGTTTGTGGGTTTCAGGTCGTCTTGAGTCTGAACTAAGGACCACTGAAAGAAAACACATGGAAAGTTTCTCAGTGCTCAGTAATCTTGCAGTTCTAGTCTTTCTCTGCAAGCCTCCTCCTGCTATGTGCAGTTCAGAACCTCACGTGGCAAGCCGTTCATACACCCCAGTGACATATTCTTTGGAGAGCAGAGGGGTGTCTGGCCTCCATTTTGTCAGGAACTGGGACCTTTCTTCTCAGCACAAGCCATGATCATAAAGAAAATTCCGAGGGGTGGAAAATGGCTCAACGCCTTGCTGCTAAGTATAAAGACTTGGGATTCCAATCCCAACACCCACGCAAAAGTCCTGTGCGGTGCCACGTAAGCCTGTAACAGAGACAGGAGGGCCACTGAATCTTGCTGGCTGCCAGTGTAGCCAGAACATGAGCTTTAGGTTCAGGGAAAGATCCCGCTCCAAAGGAACAAGAAGGAGAAAGACAAAGGGTACCCTGATGTCTTCTCTGGCCTTTGTGTGTACTCGATGGATGCATCTCTCTCTCTCTCTCTCTCTCTCTCTCTCTCTCTCTCTCTCTCTCTCTGTGTGTGTGTGTGTGTGTGTGTGTGTCTGTCTGTCTGTCTCTCTCTCACTGTCTCTGTCTCTCTCTTACACACACACTACACATAACATGCAAGAAGGAAGATGGAGAGGTTAGATGACTGGATGCTCTTGCAGAGGACCTGGGTTCAATTCCCAGCACCCACATTGGGTGACTCACAGCTACCTGTAACTCCAGTTCCAGGAGATCTAGCACCCTCTTCTAGCCTGCTTGCACACTCTGCTGATACGGTGCATATCCATATACACAGGCAAACACTCAAAGACTTAAAATAAAAATAAATCTTTAAAAAATAGAAATAGTCATAACAATAAGAAGAATCTGAAAAGTGGCTAAACATTTTCAGAAATGTGAAAAATAATCCTAATAAAATAGTTGCTATTAGGGGCTGGAGAGATGGCTCAGAGGTTAAGAGCACTGACTAATCTTCCAGAGGTCCTGAGTTCAATTCCCAGCAACCCCATGGTGGCCCACAACCATCTATAATGAGACATGATGTCCTCTTCTGACCTGCAGGCAAAACAGTGTGTGTACATAATAAATAAGTCTTTTTTTTTTAATAGTTGTTATTAGCAAGTGTTGGCCATGCAAGAAGTTTGCTGCTGGTATGCACAGTCCAATATGTAAACAATGAGGCACTCTAGCCAAGACTCAAGAATGACCAGGATAAGCCAAAACTCAACAACAAGAACAACAACAAAAGAAACAAAGAAAGACCCTCTTAGATTCCTTCATTTAGACTTAATGTTCTAAGTAACCTGATACATTAAATTGTTGGCATGACATTGGACTCACAGGGACAAGCTTTCTTTTCTTTCATCTGATTCCGGGAACATGAGTGGGCACCTCATGCAGAATAGATGCCTCACAGATGTCACAGGTTCAAGTTTTCTGTAACTGACTGAATGCTGCGCTTGACGCGTTGATTAATCTGGGGGAATGGCGCCATGGTGATTGTCTGCAGGCAGGGCAATGAGCAGAAGAGCTGCTGGGCAGTCTGGCCACTAGTAACCTCAGCTGAAGAGACAGACCGGGTCATTTGTTTCTCTAGAACAATCCCCTGTGCTCCCAAAGAGATTTCCGACAATTAGCACCTCTCTACATCACACTTCTGCAAGGAGTGTGAGCAGTTGGCTCTTTGTAAAAGTCAGGAAACCAAAACACAATCACAGGAACCACAGATGTGCTGAGATGAGATGTTAACCCCAGGTGCCCCTCACATCCCCATGGGTGAGATCGAGGCCTGGTCCCCCCCTCCAGAGTGAATCTGTGGTCCAGAGACAGAAAACAAAACATTTCTCTACCTTTAAGGAACCTTAATTTGAGCATAATAAGATCCATCCATTTTTAGTATACAGGTTGACAAATGTTAACAAGTACATACAGCTACCCAGCCATAATTATAAACAAGGGTACAGCATATTTCCATAAACTTACAAAGTACCCAGGCACTTCTGCAGTAACTTTCTGTCCCCAGCCCACCCCGGAAACTCTGACCATCTTCCCTGGCTGTGGCTCAGGGGCATCCCTGAACAGACCAGCGTCTCTCCCAGGTTACTCCTGTCTACCAGCCTATAGGCATCTCCCGTCGCCAGAAGCACCCACCAGCCCCTCAGAGCAGAATGTAGACTCAGTTTATCGGGACTCCTTTTCCAGCAGTTGTCACAAGAGGAGTCTATATCTGTGATAAGTATCGAGGGCACTCTCGCTTGTAGCTGAAGTCACTTAGGGGCGGGGCAGGAACCCTGTCATATCCCACTGACAGCCTTGGGGATGAGGTGGATGGGGGAGGTTAGGTATCTTTAATTGTCTCTAGGCTCTTGCTTTCATACTGTCCTAAAAGTGTGTTTCTAAAGTTGTTATTGAATCTTTCTTTTTTTCTAAAAAATGTATTTTATTTTACTTATATGAATGCTGTGCTTGCGTGTTTGTCTGTTCATCACATGCGTGTCAGGTGCCTGCAGATGTCAGAAAAAGCCTTCAGACCCTCTGTAACTGGAGTTACCATGTGGGTGCTGGGAACCGAACTCGGGTCCGCTGGAAAGAGCAGCCATTGCTCTTACAGGTGGAGACATCTCTCCAGGCCCTGGGTTTATTTTCTTGAAGCTGCAGTTACTGATAGCTCTTGTCATGGTGACTGTTGGAAACCAGCAGTCTGCTGACCCCGCCCCCTGACGATGGGCGGGACGCTCATGGCCATGCTGTCTCTAAGTCACGATTTACCTGGCTGCTCACGAATTACCTGGCTGCGCAGGGGACTCAGTTACGCATGCGCAAACTAGTTTCCTTTTTAAAGCAAGCCCGCCAAGCGCGCCGCTCCGGTGTTCCCCTCTCTTGCTTTCTCTCCCTGTCTTCCTCCCTTTCGCTCCCCTCTACCAATAAACTCCACCTGGGCGCTGGGTTTCTTAGGCAGAAATTAAGACATAAGAACAACAGTGACAATGAAAACGAAACCAGATTGAGAAGTTGAGGGCGTTTGGAAGTGAAATGCATTTTCAAAGACGGATGTCTCACAGGCAGGGGTGGCAGACACCAGGGCACGCCTGCCGAAGCAGAAGGCTTCTTGGAGCAAGCAGTTCTCTCCTGCTACCACGCTGGGCCCAGGAATCCGACTCAGAAAAGGGACTTGGCTGTCTTCGCACATGCCTGGAAAACTCTGGGTTTATGACAGCCTTGCAAGGGCAGAGGGACAAAAGGGCTTCCCCTGATGCTCCTCTGGGTGTAGGGGGTGTGACATTGCTTACCTAGAAGGAATAGCTGCCCTGTCACCAAAGCATTATAGTCAGTGAGCAGCTGACCAGGTACAGGAAGAGGGAGTCGCAGTCACCCTGGAAACCAAGCAGCGCCGTGTACAACCAAGAAAATGGCCTCTATTTTGAGATGTCAGTTACATGCCTTTAGCTTTGATGATCCCACACCAGAAAACATTCTTAGAAAACCTGAGATCCAAGGCTATAGTCCTAACCCTGGGAAGGATGAGGAGCTCCCAGAACTTCAAGACTAGCCTAGGCAATATAGTGAGACATTTTTCTTCCAAAACCCCAAATCCAAACTCAGGGAGTGTAGTTCACAATCCTAGTAGTCCTAGAACTCAGGAGGTAAGAACAAGAGATTCAGAAGTTCAAGGTCACCCTTAGCTACGTAGGGCCAGCCTGGGCTAGAGACCCTGTTTAAAAAAAAAAAAATTCAAAAATTTTTGAGTGCTGACACATTGCCGCAAGTGGAAAATTCCACATCATGAAACTGTTTCATGCATAAGAGTCTCTAGAATGGTGTCTGAAATTGTATCCATGCTATGTGCATAGGGCATGCACCAAACATAAATGAATTCCATGTTTAGAATTGGAAAAAGCATCCCATTATGCATATGTAAATATTCAAAAATCTTTAACCACTTGTGGTCCCAAGCATTTTGTGTAAGAGATTCAGCTTGCAAGTGTATTCAAAATTTTTGAGCAAATTTGAACTTGAGAGAAATATTGAAAATAAGAAAAGTGGGCCCACAGATTATTTTTTTAAAGCAAGGTCTCACTATGTAGCTTTGTCTAGCCTGGAACTTTCTATGTAGACCAGGCTGGACTCAAACTCTCAGAGATTCACCTGCCTCTGGTTCTTGAGTGCTGAGATTAGAGAAAAGTATATATCACTATGCCTGGAAAGAATATTTTAAATTTAAATTACATTTAAGTTAAAATTAATATTTTAAAGAGAATTGAAACATTTTTATTTTTTAAGATATTTGTGTGTACGTGTGTGTGTGTGTGTGTGTGTGCATCAGTTGTAAATGTGCCTTTGGGGATCAGAAGAGCACCCTGGAGCTGGAGTTAGAGGTAGTTGTCAGCGGCCGGACATGGGTGCTGGGAACTGAGCTGGCATCCTCTGAAAGAGCAGCCAGTGCTCCTGACAGCTGAGTCATCTCTGCAGCCCTCAGAGAATTTCTCTAAGCAGCACTGGGCACACCGGTTGAGTGGAAGAGGTCTGGAGAGAATGTCTGGTCTTGCCTTTTACCTCTTGCCTTTTACCACATGCAACCGTCATGGTCACTGTCCCGGATCTTCGAATCATAGCGGCCCTGCACCTCTCCCCATGTAGACATCAGCACCCAGGTTTCACTCCCCTCTGTAGTGAGGTAGTCCTTCTGTAGCACTGACCACGCCCATTGGGGGGTGGAGCGATGGGCGGAGGTGACCTGAGGAAGGAGGTCGGAGGGGGCCAGGAAGGCGCTCTCTTTCTGGCGTGACTCGGACAGGAGAGGATCGGGTTGAATTTCCTGGTGTTCATCTGTCTAGGTTGTAAGTTATTTCTCCCTGAATAAACATCTATTCGGCCTATTTGTTTATCCTGACCCTTATTTACCGCAATACCCCTCCATCTGCATTGCGGACTCTGCTCCCCAAGGTCTCTCCTCTGACTTTCCCCAGACACAAGGCGCAGGCGCAGGCGCAGCCAGGGCGCGTCTCCACTGAATCCCGCTGTCCTCTACTCTCCACCTGGGACTGACCACCTCTGGGTCCCTCGAGAATCTGTCCACACTGCAGCACTCTTATCACTCCTGTTCTGGCCATAGCTGGTCCACGCTGCCTCTGGCAGTTTGCTCATCCCTTCCTGGACCTTCTATTGTAATCCCCAGCATGCCTTGCCCAGTGACGGTCTGGGTGCCCCTGGTTTCCTTCTCACACACGATGGCAGACCTTCTTGCACCTATTAAAATAAGAGTCAAATCCTCTCTGGGTGAGCTACCGCATTTCCTCTAGATTGCCTCTGCGGGGAAACTCCAGCAAACAGGAGCAGCTGCTGGCCCTTGCTTAGCTGAGATAGGGACTTTCTATGCAGTCCTAACTGGAGAGCTACTCTCCGTGTAGCCCAGATTGGCCTTGAACACGATGGCCATCTTAGTTGTGTCTTGTCTGCTGGGCCCATTGCACTCTGGGAATTGGACGGTTTCTTAGTGTTTAAAACGAAAGGAAGGAAGGAAGAAGGAAGGAAGGAAGGAAATAATGGAGCTGGAGAGATGGCTTAGCAGTTAAGAGCACTGGCTGCTCTTCCAGAGGACCCAGGTTCAATTCCCAGCACCCATATGGCAGCTCACAGCTAACTGTAACTCCAGTTCCAGAGACTAACAACCTCACACAGACATACATGCAGACCAATGTACATAAAAAATAAATATTTTTTTATGTTATCTCACTGGGCAGTGATAGTGCATTACTTTAATGCCACCACCCAGGAGACAGAGGCAGACAGATCTCTGCGCGTTCAAAGCCAACCTGGCTTATAGAGTGAATTCCAGGACAGTCAGGGCTACACAGAGAAACCCTATCTTGAAAAACAAACAAAACAAAAGAAATCTTAGTACTACAGAATCGAGAGGGTATTTATGATTTTTGATCTACAAGTTATAGATTAGCAGGTTTCAGGCCATCCAAAGCCACTCATCCATACTCTGTCTTAAACAAACAAAAAGTGAGCATTTTGGTCATCTAGTGTGTGTAAGTTCATACATGGTGCCCACATGTGTGCATACAGCCTGAAAACACCTTGCAGTTGGATATGTCAAAGCCTGGGATCATTCTCTGCAACAAGCCTCTTTAGCAGAGCTTGAACCTTCCCCAAGTATGGAGCCTGTCCTCACAGATTATCACTTGAGACAACACGGGCAGCTTCTGTCACTCCTCAGGTGGGAGTCCAAACTCCACTGCCCACGTGCCTGTGCTGAGCACTGAATGACAGGCATCTCCTCCAGGCCATCGACATCACTGCTGCCCAGGTGCACGACCATCTCCGTGCTCAGACCCTCCATCTTCAATCTTACTGCACCCTGACGAGGGATGCTCTCAGAAGCCTAGGTGACTCTAGTTCTGAGGCCGTATCATAAGAAAACAGCGAGTCTGGATTCAAATGGCCCCTGTACCCTGCGCAGTCCCAGGGATGATGCCTGGGAGGGCTTCAGTGCGTGTTTTCTTTTCCAGGGGATGAATAGTCAGTACGTCCGCCGAGAGGTCTTCTGCGGGAACACCTGCCACGAGCTCAAACGCTTCTGGGAGAGGGAGATTGGCAAACAGACGTACTACCGCCAGTCCGAGGAGCGTCGCCTGGGAAGAAGCGCGCTGAGAAAGTACACAGCCGCATGTCTGTTTTAATACATTTTGAGAAGAGTTGTGTATTTTTGTTTTGTGTGTATGGATGTTTTCCCTGTATGTCTGGACAACGTGTGCATTCTATGCCCTGGAGGCCAGAAGAGGGTGTTGGATCCTCTGGCACTGGAATTACAGACTGTGGATAGCTGCCATGTGGTGGTGTTCACAACCCCTGTAACTCCAGCTCCAGGGGACTTAACATCTCTGGCCTTCTTGAACACACACACACACACACACACACACACACACACACTATTAAAAATAGTAAAAGTAAGTCTTAAAATATAAGATGGAGGGGACTGGAGAGATGGCTCAGTGGTTAAGAGCATTGACTGCTCTTCTAGAGGACCCAGGTTCAATCCCCAACGCCCACATGGCAGCTTACAATTGTCTATAACTCCAGGGGACCTGACACCCATGGCAAAACACCAATGCAAAAACACCAATGCACATAGAAGAAAAAATTCAGAATATAAGATGGAAGCACCAGAGATGACTCTGAGGCAAGTCTGGTCAACTAAACTGCTAAAAATAGAAAGGAGGGAGGAAGGGAGAGAAAAAAAACATACAAAATGGACTGAGGAGATGGCTCAGTTCGTAAAGCATTTGCCATGCAAGCGTAAGGACCTGAGTTCAAGGCCCAAATACAACAGGAACAGCAGTGCACAGCAGTTATCCCAGTGCTGGGGAGATGAGGCAGGAGGATCACTAAGGCCTGCTGGCTAGCCAGTCTAGCTGAATCGGCCAGCTCCAGTTTAGTGAGATCCTGGAGCACCGGCTGCTTCCCCAGAGAGTCCAGGTTCAATTCCCAGCACCCACATGGTGGCTCACAGCCATCTGTCCAGTCCAGGGGATTCGATTCCTTCTTCTGGTCCCTGAGGGCGCCTGAGCGCACCCAAGCATGATATACAGACATGCATGAGACAAAACATTCATACACATAAAACGTTTAAATTTAAAAATAAGGTAGAGAACAACAATGGAGGCACCTGACCCCGATTTCTGGCCTCTGCACGCACCCCCATACACACACAATCATATACATATACAGAAAACCCCCCATATCAAAAAGTGGGTCTCCTCATTTTCACCTGTGTAAATAAATATGCACATATATTTGATGTGCAAGTCCTCTGCACACCATCCTAAAACCGGACACACAAAGGGTCTCAGGGAGGAAACGGGAGGGCTCTTCCCGGAGACACAGCTCTACCTAGGAGGGCTCCACCGTGCCTGTTTCTATTTCCAGACTCCGGGAAGAATGGAAGCAGAGGCTGGAAACAAAGCTGAGACTGCGGAACAATCCAGATGAGGCGGAAAGACGGACAAATGTCAGCTGAGGACGCCCCAGTTCCCTGACCCCTAGAGGACACAAGGCACCAGGTTCCTCTGCTTTGAGGCATCCCTTCCCAATGACCCACACTCTCTGTGGCTATGTGCCAATCCGCCCTCTCTGCGTTCGTCGAGGCCAGGCTGTTATTCCAAATGTCTCTGAGTGTTAGCGTGGTTAATATCAAGGCCTCAGACATTGTGTTTTGTTTTTATATAATTTTCCTCTGGCTTTAAAAGCCACATATTTCAAAGTATGTACTCCAGAAAGGATTCAGATCTTCCTGGTCTTGCTTTAAACATTGCATGGTATTTTCTGCTGCACCATTTTGCCCAGGAAACATAATTATATGCAATCTTTTCTTGAATGTTCCTTTGAAGAGAAGAGTAATGCACCTCTCTACGAAAACAAAAGCAGTACCCATAGTATAAAATAAGGTTTGTGAAGACCTGGTCTCTGTGTGGATGTAAGGGGCTTTTTAGAAGCCATGTTTATCAATCGTTTCAATAAAATTCAGCCTTTTGCCATCCATGAACATGCTCTTCATTGTACCTATTTAGCTGAATCTCCATGAGTTTGCTGGTTAGCCTCCAGTCTGTTAGCTCAACAACTAATGCCAGGCTACATCAAGAGTGTTTAGCACACAGATCCTGGACTTTGAAATGACACTGTCACTCCACCTCCCAGGTCTGGAAGCACCAGGGGTGGCTGCTATTGACAATGCAATGATAATGGGGTCCAGAAAACATTTTTTCCCTACAGAGGAAGAGAGCAGAGAGATTCATGATTGTTGTCTGTGATGTCTGTAAGGCGTTTTAGGCATAGGGGTAATTCAACTGGTAAACAAACATAAAAGTAATTCCTCTGATCACATACACGTATATTATTATCATTATCATTGTAGTTTAAAACTATTTACTTTCATTTTAAATTATGGGTGTATGCATGTGTAACTGTGAGGGGTTCATGTGTATCTGTGTGTGGGGTGCGCAGGTGTATCTATTGGGGGGTATAATGTGTATCTGTGGTGATATTTTGTTTATGCTATAATAAATAAAGCTTGCCTGAAGATCAGAGTGCAAAGCTAGCCAGACTAGTTAACCATAGAGGCCAGACAGTGGTGGCACACACCTTTAATCCCAGCACTCAGGAGACAGAGACAGATGGTCTCTGTGAGTTCAAGGCTACCCTGGACACACGAAACTGATCCAGTGTAAAAGAGAAACAGAGCTCACACAAAGGTGATCCCAGCATTTGGAGTGACAGGCCTTTAATCCCAGCGCTAAGAGGTAAAGACAGAAGTGAGATGGCTGGGCAGAGAGAGGAATGTAAAGTGGGAGGAGAGAGGAGCTCAGGGCAGTCTAGGCAGTCAGTCTGAGAATTCAGTGGTGGTAAAGGCTTCTCTAATAGTTGGCTTCTCTGCTTCTCTGACCTCTCAGATTTCACTCCCCAATATCTGACTCTGGGTTTTTATTATTAAAACCAAAGAGAATTCGTTCTATATGTATCTGTGTGGGGTTTCTGCATGTGCATCTGTGATGCCATACTCAAACATACATCACACACATACATAACTTATATACACACATAAATGATAATTAATTTTTAAATGTCAGCTTCACTTTCTTAAAGTTAGAAGTTTTAGAATCCGAACCACTATGCCTTGATTCAAATGTGCCCAAAATTTCATCACACTTGAAATTTGTCATTTTCAGCCAAGCTTAGTGGCTCCTACCTGTAATCCCAGCACACAGGAGGCGGTGACAGGGATGGAGATTAGTGGGGAGTTTAACGACATGCTAACCGCAGAGAAAGCTTGATGTCAGCCTGGGCTACGTGAAATTCTGATTCGATTTTTTACAAAATAAATAAAAATCCATCATATTTAATATAAATACTGTTAACTTATAGGAAACTCACTCTGTGTGCCACTAGTGGGAATACAAATTGATCCAGTCATTATGGAAATTCCATAATAAAGAAAGCCTGAGAAATAGGATTACCATACAAATGGCATAATTACACCACTCCTAGGTACCGACCGGAAGGACTCTAAGTCAACACACCAGAGATGCCTGCATTCACAATACCCAAGTCAGCCTCAGTGTCCACCGGCAGACAGGGGACACATATTATATATACACCATGGAATTAGCAAAAAAGAGCAATTAGCTGCAGAGAGCAAAATTTTGTTTGCAGCGAAAGAATCAGGAGACTGGAGCTGCCCCAACCCATGGGGCATTCAAGGACAACTGGGGAAAACCTAAGGAAAAATGAAGGACAAGGGATACAGAGAGGTACAGCATGTCCATATTCTGATCAAGCTGACAAATTTTATTTTCTCAGGGGAGGCTTAGACAGGGCCATAGGCAGGATGTGAGCAGGGTTTGCAAGTGGGCAGGATGAAAGGGTCAGTAGAAGAAATGCCCTGAGCTAATCTTTAACTAGCTGTAAAACTGTAGCAGGAGGAATATCCTGAGCTATTCTTTAACTGGTTGTAAAACCACAAGCCTGTATCTAGGAATGCTCTGCTGAACATTCTGCTTATTTCTTAAGAGGCAGTCAGTAATTTTCTATCTGAGACCTGAGGTAGTGAGGATGGTGATTGTCCCCAACACTGGAGAGATGGCCCAGCAATTAAGAGCACTCATTGCTCCTGCAGAGGACCCAGGTTCAGTTCCCAGCATCCACACAGTGGGTCACAACTATCTGTAACTCCAGGTCTGTCATCTGTGGGCACCAGGCATGCACACAATGCATATACATACATGCAAAACATTCATACATATGAAATATGAAAATAAATCTTTTAAAAGTTACATTGTTTGCTAGAAAATTTGACAAAACTAGAGACCATTGTATTAGTGGAAAAATCCAGTCTCAAAAAAGAGATATATTGCCTGGCATTGTTGGAGCACGTCTTTAATCCCAGCACTCGGGAGGCAGAGGCAGGCGGATTTCTGTGAGTTCGAGGCCAGCTTAGTCGACAGAGCTAGTTCCAGGCTCCAAAGCAATACAGAGAAACTTTGTCTCAAAAAACGGGAAAGAGAGAGAAAGAGATTATGATTTCTCTCATTTATGGGCTTTAGATTGTATATAGATATATAATCCCTCCTCTCTGTTTCTGTCTATGTGTGCATACCTAACACATACATGGTTAATTCAAGCTGTAAATAGAGCCCTGGTGGATGAATTATCCTTCATGTCCACCTTGATCCATCCTGCCCCATCGATGTGGTGTCCTTACAGGGCTCTAAACAGTCCTAACTGCTGCTGTCATGAGCCGTAAGTATTCCCTGTGTGCAGAAGTAACTGGGTTAGCTTGCCTAGTAGGCATTGTGGCCAGCTTTGGGAGACCTTGAGCAATGCAATGCAGAAGGGACAAGAAGGGAAGGTTGTAGCTGCCTAGTTATCTCATGGAAAGATAAGACAAGTTGAGAAGACCCAGGACCCACCACATGGGACTTTGAGGCTGACTTTGGACTGCCATAGCATCCGGAACAGCCCCTAGGATGGGATCAACAGTCACGTGATGAGACACAAGACTGATCTGTTGGGCAAATGAATGGAAGGTTTGCATACAGTACAGCACTATGTTTTACAAGCACCACCTCCATAATACCCCCATTCAGACCGGGCAGAGGGGTCTGAATGACACCACTGAGGCGTCTTTCCTCTTTCAGCAGACAGCCAGCATAACGCTCTGAGTTAGTAGCATGAAGCAGGCTGCAGCCCACGGCTAAGCTTCAGGAGGTCCTTTTGTAAGGTCACTTCCTGACCAAGAAGCTTTCATAGTTGTCCAAACATTTCCTTTTGGCCTACTGGATGGAGAACATCATAGTGTGTGGTGCTTCTAGAACCTTCCCACAGTGTGTGTCCACTATGGCAGTGTGGTGCCACATGCGCCTGGCCAC